CGCGCCACTCGGCCGGCCCTTGTGTAGTACTATTTTAAAAAGTAAAGAAAACCTTTGATTTTACTTTTTAATTTTTATTAGGCACTATACTATACACTACATAACCTTCTAGGTGTAGATGCATATAACTGAGTTATTTTTCATCAATCAGGAAAATGCTTCCTCAGTCAATGTTCTCCAAACCCTGAAAAACAGTTTAAAAAGGAAAACGTGAGAATTCTGTTCCCATCCAAGATGTACATGTACTCTTATTTCTATTGTCACCGAATGGCATTCTCTGTTATTAAAGAAAGTACTTTCATATCCCACATTTCTCTAACTGGAACAATAAAATGGACTGAATTTTATAATCACTACACTAAGAAATAATATAATGACTTCTAGTTTTCATTTTCTGACAGCAGCAAATATATCACTTTATATGAAGAGACCCTTCTCTCCCAATCAGAACTAAAGTCAAGCAGTAATTCACCATTTAGATCCTTCTATAAAGCACCCTCAGAGAGTCAGAGAATAAGGCAAAACCATTTTATAAAATAATAGCCAACATGAGGAAGATACTATTAGCCTCATTCCACTTTTTTACAGATGAAGAAAGGAGGCTCAGAGAGGTTAAAATTTACTTGCTTAAGTCAGTAAGGAAGCAGAAGAACCAGAATTCAAGTTCATGGCCCCCCAACTCCAGAACTCTTACCCTGTGTAAGCATGACACTATTTATTCAGAAGACCCACTATCTTATTCAGTTCACAACCAAATATTTCAGAAACTATAAAGATTAATCAGTGATGACATTTCTTCCAGGTATTACAATAACACAGTCCAGGTATTTTGTTTACTACTACAGGAAGAATCACCTTGAGAGAAATTAAAATTGCATAGTTCTAGGAACCACCTTGCAGAAATCCTTAATTCATTTCGCTGGCCTGGGGCCTGGTAATTTGCATTTTATCTCATATGCCAGATAATTCTTTTTTTTTACCAGTACAGAGGTCTTATTTTTTTACACTCATCATGCCATGAATTCATAGGGAATGGGTTCCAGCAGCTCAGGCTCCTTTCCATTGGTTCTCACAAAGTGTGCTTTTCTGGGTGGAGCGTGCTTCAGTTGAACCCAAGTACCTTTCTCTTTAGCATCCTTCTGTTTCTGATCATTTTCCTTCACACCTTTCAGAAAGCTACTTCTGTTCTTACAGTGCTTAATATGGTCAATACGTACATTAGTTTGTATTGAATCTTGCCCTTACTTGTTTACAACAGTGCCCATCGCATGCTGGGTAACACTGTAGACTGTTCCACTTTTGCCATGGTAACATTTAGGGGCACTCCTTTTTTTTTTTTTAAAGATTTTTATTGGGGAATTGGGGGATGGGAACAGAGCTGGGGAATTGGGGGAAGGGGAACAGACAAGTTGCTGTCCTTTTGTTCTTCAGTCTAGTTGTGGAGGACGTTGCTTCACTGGCCCAAGTTGGCATTATCATTGCGCTCTGCCCGGGTGAGGCAGATCAGTCGCCGGCTTCTGGATGCTGCTGGCTACACACGGTAGCCCATGGCAATCCACTGCCACAGGGGCTGCAGCCTACGCCATCGCTGGCGACTCACGGCAGCCCAGCTCCAGGTTGAGCTGTTGTTCAGCATCTTAGGTGTCGAGGGCAGTGTCACTGGCCCTCATATGTGGGATCCGAACCGGGGCCCTCTGGCGTCCCAAGCCAGTTCTTAACCAACGTGCCACTTGGCCAGCCCTGGGGCATTCCTTTTTGAACAGTACCCTTTCCCTTGATGTCTATAATATCACCTTTCTTGTAGATGCACATGTATGTGGTCAAAGGAACAACTCCATGTTTTCTAAAAAGGCCTAGAGAACATACAGCGGTGCCTCTCCTCTTTCCCTTTGTGTTGGTCATTTTGGCAAATTACTGGAAGATGGTTGTTCCAGCCAAAAGCTGCCAGATGATTCTGATGGTTATTCTTGGACCACACTTTGAAAAATACTGCTCTAGATGAGAAGCTAGCTATCATCATGTTCTTTAGATTAGATTATCAAATTGCACTATACTGAGAGGTAGATTGCCCAGGTTAAGTCCTCATAGTATTATTTAATCAGTGACCCTCTGTTCTCTCATCCATAAAATGGAATTAATGTTTACCTAGGTTCACTGTGAGGAATAAATGAGCAAAGAGAAAATATAAAAAAGTAAATTTTTAAAAAAGAATAATGAGGATCAACTTCTATAATATATTAGAACACACTATTAGGTTAAAACAAATGAAAATACTACTACTTGGCCATTTTTCACCTACAAAAACAGCAATTTTATATGATTCCATCAAATATAAAATTATACTGATTTTTTACATATGGATGATATGCATGCAATAATTGGCAAAACAATAGAATAAACAGCACATTTGTGAAACAGGCCCATGTGTATATGGAAATTTAGTTTACTAAAGTGGTATTTCAAATAAAAAATGGACTGTTCTATAAATGGATGATCGTGACAACTGGCTATCTATTGGAAAGAAAAAAAGTTAAATCCTGGTTTCACATTATACCCCCCAAATAACCTGTAGATGCCTCAAAGCACTAAATGTAAAGAAAAATAAAAAAGAAACTGTAACAGTATTTGGAGAAATTGGAAGAATATAGTTTTATAATCTTGGGTAGGAAACTCATTTGTAAGCAAGACATAAAACCCAAAATCCGGAATGATAAAATATAAACATAACATCAGAATTAAAGTCTATTATCTGATGAAAGACATCATAAACTAATAAAGACAAACGGGACACTAGGAAAAATAGTTGTACATATAAAATAGACAAAATATGAATATCCATAATACATAAAGAAACCCTATAAGTCAAAAAGAAAAGAATAGAGCAAGCAAAGTGTACAGGCAAACAATCCACAGAACAAGAAATACAGTCGATCAGGCTGCTCAAAATCACTAGACAAGAAAATGCAAATTAAATTAGCACTGTAAGACCTTTGGCAAAACAGTACCGAACCCACCTCCACCCTGACACGTGGCTAGCGTCAGAGCCATCTTACCTTTGACACATAGTAACGATTAACTCCAGAGATTCGCTTGTCTCTTTCCATCAATGTCCACTGATATGAATAATAGGCAACCCTTTTTTCCTACAGTAAAAAGAAACCGTTATTGTGGTTTTTAAATGAGTGACGCAATGGAGGAATATTAGAATTTTAAGAAGTGACATTCTAGAAAAATAGCATCACCACTGAAATAAAAACCAAATTAACAAAATAAGGCCAGGATCCTAAATAAAATCGGACCACTAAACTTCAGAAGATGGTAACCATGACCTTTACAAAGTCTATTTTAACCAGCATCATCCCCCCACCCCGCCCCCTTTAAAGACATGACTTTAAAGAAATGTTTGCTTTTGGAACCCTAATAAGAAAACATTTGTAGGTCACACGTGAAGGACAATCACAAAAACAAAAAGCAAATACATTTATACTCTGTACTCTAGAGATGATGTGAAAACCAGGAAGGGGGAAATTACAAGGCTGAAAAACAGGATCTTGCAGTGAATTCCTAACGGCTTGCAAGAGAAAGTGGGGGATAAAAAGCGTCAAGGTAAAAACCTAATTAAGGATGGGAAAGAAGTAAAAAACGAGAAGCCACCAAGATATGAATGCGAGTAGTTAGAATAAAAATTGAGCGAGAAAGGATATTAGAAGTCAGAGAGAGTGGGGGCAAGACTAACTGACGCCTCCTTCCCTGCCTAGGAGCTTGGACCTACCTCTTCTACTCTCCTACCTTTCCAGTCCCTGAATCTCTGTCCACCCATTCTTATCCACCCAGCAACTAGCTGTTTGTTGTTAGAGTAGAATGTGGTTTTCATTGGGCTTCATTCCGCAAGCCTCCGCTCATAGGCAATACGAAAAAACGGGAGGGATGACCTCGGTGTTCCCCATTTTGGATAGAGGTTCCGGATGCTAATGGCCTCCCTACCCCACCGCCCATTGGGTAACGTCGGTCCGGGGAGACCGAGCCGGAGAAGCCGCCTTACCTTGCCTCCACTAGTGAACCTGTGGATGTACGCAGTGGCCACTCCGGGAATGAGTAAACACGCACCCATAACGGCGATCCCGGGGAGAATCTCGAACCACATCGCGGCACAATTAGCAAGGCCAAACAATACCTTCCAGGCCGCTTAAAAGTCACCAGGCTTCGGTCGCTTCCCAGTAAGCCCCGCGGCAGCCCGCGGCTGGGCGAGGTCACGTACGCCTCCGAAGGAAACGACGGCGTCCGACAGGGCTCAAGAGTGTCACATTTTTGCGCTCTCGCATCCCCATACTCCCTCAGTTCTCTTTCCGTAGCCCATTTTTGTCCTGACTTTCCGCCGAGAGCGCTACGTGCACTGACGTGAAAAGACCCCGCGCAACCCGGAACACCGCAGCCGTTTCGGAGCTCGGGACTAGAAAATGGCAGAGCAACTTTCTCCAGGAAAGGCGACCGACCAGGTGTGCACCTTCCTGTTCAAAAAGCCTGGGCAAAAAGGGGCTGCAGGCCGCAGGAAGCGCCCGGTCTGCGATCAAGAGCCCGGAGACAGCAGCAGCAGTGACGAAGGCAGCACGGTGGTTCGCCCAGAAAAGAAGCGAGCGACCCACAATCCGATGATACAGAAGACCCGCAGCAGTGGTAAACAGAAAGCGGCTTACGGCGACTTGAGTAGCGAGGAGGAGGAGAATGAGCCCGTGAGTCTCGGTGTGGTCTACAAGTCCACCCGCTCAGCGAAACCCGTGGGGCCAGAGGATATGGGGGCGACTGCTGTCTACGAGCTAGACACAGAAAAGGAACGTGACGCACAAGCCATCTTTGAGCGCAGCCAGAAGATCCAGGAGGAGCTGAGGGGCAAGGAGGATGACAAGATCTATCGGGGAATCAATAACTACCAGAAATACATGAAGCCCAAGGATACATCAATGGGCAATGCTTCCTCCGGAATGGTGCGGAAGGGCCCCATCCGCGCTCCTGAGCATCTGCGTGCCACCGTGCGCTGGGATTACCAGCCTGACATTTGTAAAGACTATAAGGAGACCGGCTTTTGCGGCTTCGGAGACAGCTGCAAATTCCTCCATGATCGTTCAGATTACAAGCATGGGTGGCAGATCGAACGTGAGCTTGATGAGGGTCGCTATGGTGTCTATGAGGACGAAAACTATGAAGTAGGGAGCGACGATGAGGAAATACCATTCAAGTGTTTGATCTGTCGCGAGACCTTCCAAAACCCAGTTGTCACCAAGTGTAGGCATTATTTCTGCGAGAGCTGTGCGCTGCAGCATTTCCGCACCACCCCGCGCTGCTATGTCTGTGACCAGCAGACCAATGGCGTCTTCAATCCAGCGAAAGAATTGATTTCTAAACTGGAGAAGCATCGAGCTGCAGAAGAGGGTAGTACTTCCGATTTCCCAGAAGACCCCGATGAGGGCCCAATTTCCATTACTTAGTTTTTCCATTATTTTCCAGTCTCAAAATAAATATTTTGGAAATTTTAATTTGTGTCCTTCCTTTCTAGGAAAAGTGACAGAGGAAAAGGCAGGTGGTGAAGTAGGGTCCTGCATAGAAGGCTTATAGAAGCATCAAGGTAGGTATAACCTGGATTTTTATTGGTATAAATGCCTGGGTATAACTTTTCAGAACCCTTTGGCATAAATTATGGGAATGGGAGAAGTTCGAGAAGAAAGGTACAATTTGCTTGAAATAACCAAAGCTGTGATGAAAGGAAAAACTGAATTTACTTATTCTATCACATTTCTAAATCACTTGATAGTTTATAAAAGTACTTTCATGCATTATTTCTATTGGGAGCCTGTGCTACTTCAAAGTACACCCCCGCTAAGGGGGAAAGGTGAATGGGTGAATTGGATTGGGGGACTGGTGGCCAGCACCACAGAGTGCATTTATAGAAAATGGTTCTTGTTCTCTTTGAAGCACCTATGGTAACCCCTCCTTCCATGGATGATTGAAATGATCTATGCTGTGCTGTGCAATATGATACCACTGGCTTCTTGGAACTGTGGAACACTTGAAATGTGGCTGGTAGCCACCATCTTGGACATTGCAGTTCTAGACTGAACTTGTGAACCTGCAGAGGGCAAAAATCTAATACTTTGTATTCCATTGTCTGAAACTGTCTGTTCTCACAGACCCTGTGATATAGCTGTTCATGCCCTATTAAAGTTAATCTATGTCCCTGTCTTCCCAATTAGTTTGTGAACTCAATGACTAGCCCAGTATTTGGCATATAATAAGCACAATAAATAAATGCAGAGTGTTTTCAAAAGGGAGATTGGAGCCAAAGACTTGAATTCAATCTGAGGAGCTTTGACTGTATTCTGTTGGTATTGGAGAGATAGCAGAGTTTTGGGGAAGTGAACACAATCAGACTTTTTTAATGTTACTGTGCTTGCAGGCTATCAGGTAGGTTGCAGGGAAATGGAGGACAAGCAGGGAAGCCAGTTAGGTCAAATAATCAGTAAATTTTTATTGATCTGGCTAGAATTTGGGCAAACCCCAGAATACAGATGCAAGAATAAATTGTGGGTTAGGTTGGTTGTTTGTTTGTTTTTATTTACATTCATTAATCCATGTAAAGATATCCTTTATGCAACTACTCTGTGTCAGGCACAGTGCTTGGCATACGGGATATTATCAAACAAAATGGACACAGCCCCTGTCCTCATGGAGCTAGACATCAGTGACAAGTGTGATGAGTACAAGAAAAAAAGTGCACTGGGTTGATCTCTCAGGATTAACACAATCCCAGCTTTGGAGGAGTTCAGAATCATAAACTCACTTAATAAAATGTGATACGTTCAATAACAACAATGTGTAAAATGTACTGGAGATACATGAGAAGCCTGGTAGGGAAAGGGCTTCTTAAGAAAGCATCACACAGGAAACAGCATTTAAGAAACAGGAGCATACACTACCATGGAAGGCAAAGGAAAAAAGTATTCTTAAAAAAGTGTCATGGAAAGATGTATGGCAATGAGTAGCAAAAAAATCATTAAAATTGTTCATTTAAAAAAATATTCCTGGGCCGGCCAGATGGCTCAGTTGTTTAGAGCACATGCTCTTAACAACAAGGTTGCCATAAAAAATTATTCAAAACTTAGATTAAGCTTTATGGAAAAAGATATACATTGCATAGAAAAATGTCTAAAGAAATAGTCATCAAATGGGAACACTGCTTATTTTTGATGGCGTGATTCTAGGGAATTAGTTACTTTTCTCTTTGGACTTTCCTGTCTTGCTTGAATTTTTAGACTTTTAATGTTATGTTTAAATAAATAGTAAGTTATAAATATGGGGGAAAAAGAAAAATATATACATTGAATTGTTATATAAGCTAGGAGAAAGGGTCCAGGAGAAAACAAGATGAAAGGGAAAGAATGCTGCTGATAAGTTCTAAATTCTAAGGTAGCTAGAACTGAAAAGCGATGGGATTAAAGGCATAAATCAAGAAGTTAGTCTTAAAGAACTGAGAGAAAGAACAGGAGAAAGATAACATTTGTCTACTACTCTACATGTTTTTAAATTCCTGTCTGAATCTGAAGAAAATATACAAAATATATGCAAATAAGTATTCTTAGGATCCACAACATTCAGCAGATTCTTAAAGGGATCATAACTCGACAAAAGTGAATAAATCAATGGTGTACTCAAGGTGTTTTTCATGTTTACAAGCTTAAGATTACAGTTTTTAAAGTCAGACCTGTATTTTATCACCTTTCATCAAATGGTTCAACTTCATTTTAGAGGTGGAAACTAAATAGTTCTCTTTTTTTTAAATATTTTTTTTATATTTTTCAATTACAGTTCACATACAATACTATATTACTTTCAGGTGTACAACACAGTGATTAGACATTTATATAACTTATGAAGTGATCAATAAATCGGTTCCAATAAATGCAGTACCTATCTGACACCATACTTAGTTATTATAATACTACTGACTATATTCCCCATGCTATACTCTACATCCCTGTGACTATTTTGTAACTACAAATTTGTGCCTCTTAATCCCTTGCCTTTATGCATCCCCCCAATCCGACAACAATAAAAATGTTCTCTGGGGGTTGTCACTTTGAGGGGTAAAAAGTATAACTATTGCTCTGTGTTGAACAGCTGAAACTAATTTTTAAAAATGTTTATTTCACAATAATAAATAAAAAATTTTTAAAAATTTTAAACTGCTCTCTATCTATGAGTTTGTTTCTATTGTGATTATTCATTTAATATGTTCTCTAGATTCCACATATAAGTGAAATTATATGACAATTGTCTTTCTCTGCCTGACTTACTCCACTCAGCACAATACCCTCTAGGTCCATCCAGGTTATTCCAGATGGCAAGATTTCATTCCTTTTTTTTTTAAGACTTTATTGGGGAATTGGGGAAGGGAAACAGCCAAGTTGTTGTCCTTCAGTCTTAGTTGTGGAGGGCACAGCTAGCTCAGCTCCAAGTCAGTCGCCATTCAGCCATCCGTTGGCAGCTCGCGGTTGCTCAGCTCAAGGTGCTGTGTTCAATCTTAGTTACGAGTGGACATAGCCCACCATCCCATGCTGGAGTTGAACCGGCAACATTGTTGTAAGGAGCACGTGCTCTCACCAGCTCAGCTGTCCTGCCACCTGTTAGCAGCTCAGCTTGGGCGCAACTCACTGGACCATGTAGAAATCGAACTGGCGACCCTGTTGTTCAGAGCTCACACTCTTATCCAACTGAGCCACTCGGCTGGCCCTCATTCCTTTTTCATGGCTGAGTAATATTCCATTATATATATATATATATGTCTCCCTCTTTATCTATTCATCCATTCAGGGACACCCAGGCTGCCTCCATATCTTGCATATCATAAATAATGCTGCAGTGAACATACGGATGCACATGTTTCTTCAAAGTAGTGTTTTGGGTTTCTTTGGATAAATACCCAGAAGTGGGATTACTGGGTTCTTCTTTGTCTTTTGTTATAGCTTTTGTTTTAAAGTCTATTTTGTCTGGTATAAGTATTGCTACACCAGCTTTTTGTTTTCATTCCAATTTTTGTGAAATATCTTTTTCCATACCTTTGCTTTCAGTCTGTGTGTATCTCTTGATCTGAAGTGAGTCTCTTGTAGGCAATATATACGTAAGGGTTTTGTTTTCTTATCCATTCAGCCACGCTGTCTTTTGATTAGAGCATTTAATCCATTTGCACTGAAAGTAATCGTTGATAGATATGTAGTTATTGCTATTTTATTATTCATATTTTTTTATCTTGTTCTTCTTAAAGAAGACCCTTTAACATTTCTTGTAATACTGTTTTGGTGATAATGAACTCCTTTAACTTTTTCTTGCCTGGGAAGCTGTTTATCTGTCCTTCAATTCGAAATGATAGCTTTGCTGGGTAGAGTAACCTTCGTTGTAGGTCCTTGCTTTTCATCACTTTGAATATTTCATGCAAATCCCCTCAGGCCTGCAAGGTTTCTGTTGAGAAGTCAGCTGACAGTCTTAGAGGAGCTCCCTTGTAGGTAACTGACTGGTTTTCTCTTGCTGCTTTTAAGGTTATCTCTTTGACTTTAATCGTTGGCATTTTAATTGTGATGTGTCTTGGAGTGGGCTTCTTTGGGTCCTGTTTATGACTCTGTTCTTCCTGGGCTTGTATGTCTATTTCCTTCACCAAGTTAGGGAAGTTTACTGTCATTATTTCTTAGGTTTTCAATTGCTTGCTTTCTCTGTTCTTTTGTACCCCTATGATATGAATGTTGGTATGTGTAATGTTGTCCCAGAGGCCCCTTAAGCTGTCCTCATTTTTTAGATTATTTTTTTCCTTTTGCTGTTTTTTTTTTAAGATTTTATTGGGGAGTTGGGGGAGGGGAACAGCATTGGAGAATCGGGGAAAGGGAACAGACAAGTTGCTGTCCTTTTTGTTCTTCAGTCTAGTTGTGGAAGATGTCACTTCACTGGCCCATGTTGGTATTGTGATCATTGTGCTCTTCCTGGCTGAGGCAGTTGGCCGCCGGCCATTGGACAACTGCTCATGGTAGCTTACGGCAACTCACACCAGCTTCCGGCCACTCACGGTAGCTTATGGAAGCCCACTGCAGCCCCACTGCAGCCTATGTCATCACCGGCGACTCACGGCAGCCCAGCTCCAGGTCAAGCTGTTGTTCACCATCTTAGCTGTAGAGGGCACAGTGTCACTGGCCCGCATGTGGGATCCGAACCGGGGCCCTGCTGCTCAGAGCTGGTGTCCCAAACGCGCCACTCGGCCGACCCTCTTCTTGCTGTTCTGATTGGATGTTTTCTGCTACTTTATCTTCCATCACTGATTCAGTCCTCTGCTTCATCTAATCTCTTGATTCCCTGTAATGTAGTCTTCATTTCTGTTATTGTATTCTTCATTTCTGACTGGTTCTTTTTTGTTTCCTAGCTCCATTTTTATGTTTCCTATCTCTTTGTCGATGTTTTCCCTGAGATCATTGAGCATCCTTATAACCAGTGTTTGGAATTCTGTGTCTGGTAGATTACTTGTCTCCCTTTTGTTTAGTACTTTTTCTGGAGCTTTGTTCCGTCCTTTTATTTGGGAAATGTTTATTT